CTGACGATTCCCTTCTTCGGTGTAGTCCGCCTTGGTTATCACAACAACGGCACTTCCTTTATCTGCTTGTTTGATAACAATGTTGTCACGGTCTTTTAAGTTTATCATGGCTTGGCTTTCTGACTTTCAAATATTCCGTACTTGTTTATCACTGATTGAAGAGCTGACTTCAGCTTTAACTGATGGTTATAAATTATTCCAAATTACCGTGTTTGCTTTTAGGTGGATTTCATGTACTTTTCTTTTTAAATTTGGGGATGCATATGTCTCATTCATCACTATCATATACAGATTCATTTATTCCGGCTTCTTTTAAATTTTTCTTCTGTTGTCTATTAAAATGTTCTTTCAAACGAAGACGCCTGGCAAATTCTTTTACATCTGTCTTCAGTTGTAAATTATTCACGGTAGCTGGTACTAGACAGAAATTAAGGCCTTTACTCATTTTTTTTCTTCAGATGCAGTTAGTTCTATTGATGACAGATTTACAACGAAATTATTTTGGAATGAGTGTTTCTGTTTTTTAAAACGTCTTTTTCTCGGTGGTTTTAATTTATTCTCTGTTAAAGTTTGATTTTCTTCAAAAACGGCCTCGTTTAAATTTCGTATTCTGTTTGGCTTTGAAATATTGTTTTTCTATTCTTTAGATATCGTATAGTCTTCTCTGAATTATTTCCATGTCTTTAGTAGTAACAGACAGTGGTGTTTTTAAAAACGTTTCATTTATTTCTGAATTAATTTGTCTGTAACCGTAGATAGAAAGGGGTAGTAAAAGTTGAAGAAGTCGGAAAGAACAATTGAATAAAATATCGTCCCAACGTTTCATAAACCTGGTGGACTTTTACACCCGGTGTTTGAGGTGTCAATTTAATATTTAAACCTTTTGGTATTGTGTTATTATCTATGTACGATTTAAGATGTGAAGCATGATGTTCAAGTTGTATATTCTTTTTTGTTAAACTTCTCAATTTGTTGAAATATGTTTTATTTTTCAATGATCTTGCGAGGAAATAGATATGAACGGATTACACAAAATGAGATGTGTAATGCTTGTTGCCTGAGAAAATAGTATATAGTGTCTAAAAATAAAAACAATCAACATTCAAAACATTCAATCTATGTAGGCGTGGATCAGTTTGAAAATAAACTGATGCAGTTACTAAATTAAATTATATAAATGCCTAAGAATGTAACTTTAACACGTTAATGAGTGTTATAAAAATATTTGTTATATTTTATATATTCACGCAATATTTCGCTAAACACGACGGGCGCCACTAGTGAAGCAGAAACCGTTCAATTGATATATATATATATGGATTGGTTTTTGAGATTTGATGGTTTGAAATTAATTGCGGAACGTTTTACACCGATAGTACATGTACCTTTAAAAAAATCATTCAATTATATATATATATATAAGAAAATAAAAAAAGATAAATGCATCGTGTTTTCGATTTTTAGTTGACGTCTAACATTGTCAAAGCTGTGTACACTGTCTTATAAAGATCTGTGACATGACCCCTTTACTTTAATTTGACCTTAAACGAATTTAAAACTCAACAAACTAAACACGACGGACGCCACTTGTGAAGAAGAAACCGTTCAATTAATTCCAGAGCAGCCGAATCATACCCAGTCATTCGGAGACTTTTTAACGTTGCTCAATCCTGACTTTTCTGTGTAATGTTTTGTTGATTGTAGTTTGTTCGTCTTTTTTTCTGTTTTTGTCTGTCCTTTGTTTTATGGTATTACTTTCTTTTTTGTGCACCGCGCAACGCGTTGAGGGGGACATAGAAACACCGGGCGTCCGTCCGTCTGTGCGTCCGTCCGTCCGGTCTTGTTAGCGCGCTCACGTGTACAATTCTTGCCAGTTTTTTTATAAAACTTATAGCATAGGTTTATATCAACAATGTCTTGGACAAGGTCGAAAATCAGTGCTTATCATTAATTTTTAAAAGAGTTATTTTCCTTGGAAACATTACTTATATTGAAAATTGCATCGTTAGCGCTCTCATTTGTACAATTCTTGCCAGATTTTTATGAAACTTATATCATAGGTTAATATAAGCAATGTCTTGGACGAGTTCGAAAATCAGTGCCGATCAATTATTTTTAAAAGAGTTATGCCCCTTGGAAACATAAGTTACATGGAAAATTGCATCGCTAGCGCTCTCATGTGTTCAATTCTTGCCAGATTTTTATGAAACTTATATCATAGGCTTATATCAGCAATGTCTTTGACGAGTTCGAAAATCAGTCGATCAATTATTTTTAAAATAGTTATGTCCCTTGGAAGCATTGAATATATGGAAAATTGCATTGCTAGCGCTCTCATGTATACAATTCGTGCCAGAATTTTATGAAACTTAAATCATAGGTTTATATTAGCAATGACTTTGATAATTTCAAAAATCAGTGACAATCAATAATCTCTTAAAGATTTATGCCCCTTGGAAATATTAATTATATGGAAAATTGCCTGATCAGCGCTCTAATTTGTACAATTTTTGCCAGATTTTTATGAAATTTATATTACAGAAATAAGAAGATATGGTATGAGTGCCAATGAGACAACTCTCCATCCAAGTCACAATGTGTAAAAAGTAAACAATTATAGGTCAAAGTACGGCCTTCAACACGGAGCCTTGGCTCACACCGAACAGCAAGCTATAAAGGGCCCCAAAATGACTAGTGTAAAACAATTCAAACAGGAAAACCAACGGTGTAATCTATATAAAAAACGAGAAACGAAAAACACTTATGAACCACATCAGCTGAACCGTGAAGTCATTATTAGGTTAGGTAAACTATCCTCCTTATAGAGTAGACTAGTCCGACAGATAACCAATTTATGTGTCTGTTGGACTAGGCTACTTGGAAAGGAGGGTAGTATACCTGACCTAATAATGACTTCAAGGTTCAGCTTACAAGCACGCTAACCAAATATATTACCTTTGCCTACACACTCAATGAAATCGGCTGTAACAGGCGCCAACCTTCACCATAACTTGAAACAGTAGTGTAGCATTACAACATAGAAAGGTTGATATCATCAACGTCTTTGAAGAGTTCAAAAATCAGTGCTGATCAATTATTTTTGAAAGAGTTAGGCCCTTGGAAATATTGATTATATGGAAAATTGCATAGTCCGCGTTCTCGTGTGTACAATTATTGCCAGAATTTTATCTTATATCATAGGTTTATATCAGCAATGTTTTTGACACTTTCGAAAATAAGTGATGATCAAACATTTGGAACTCTGTTCTTTCATTTAATATAAATGCACAAATCAAATTTTGGAGAAATCACAGGATTTGATAATGATAAGAACGTTTTTCTTTGGTTGAAAAATGGTGTGTTATTTAGTGCTTTTCCACAATAGATTTATAAAATCATATTTGATGATTTAAATATTCACTCAAAACAATAAACACTTAAAAGACCTGGTTGGTGTCAACCATAACTGTTTTCGTAACTGGTTTGAGTATAAATCATTCCGTTGGTTTTCTTTCTTGATTTGTTTAACATTTTCGACCCAGGGCCCTTTTAAGTCGTTTACGTGTTGTGTAATCAAAACGCCCGTACTAAATTATAAGCCTGGTGTCATTGAAGTTGTTTTTCCCGTACTTTATTTGCCCATTGTTGAAGTTAGTGCGTTGAAATGTAGTTGTCCTTTGGTGTTTGGTGGATACATTGTATTATGTTATCTCATTGGCAATCATACCACATTCTCTTTATATGTTTATACCTGTACATGTATATTAATATTCAGATATTGGTATTTGTATGAAGACTTAATTTTCCTATAATAAAATATAAAATCAAAATTACAATTAACAAGGTAGCTTTAAAATTAAAAAGATGGTACACAGTAGCAAATGCATACATAACACCATAATAGTTAATTGATTGATATTCCAATAAAATTCATTCTGAAAACGGGTTGTTATAGCATTTAAATGAAATACACTGTGTGGTTTTGTATGAACTTTTTTTCTGAAAGATAAAGCATCTAAAGTTCTTCTTCTCTCTTTTTTTTTTGCGCATATCATACATAACATTTGAACCTGGATTAATGAGAAAGTATGACAAGAACGTTTTGTCGTTGATTTATAACTGTTTATGCTACCTCAGTGACAGTAATGTACGCAACTGAGCTGTTCTGATCAATGACTTCTGAGACATAAGCCTGTCATTAATTACGTTGATATTATAAGAATCGCAAAAAACAACAGTTACAAAGGGTGCTTAGGTCAATGTATCTTATTATACATCTGACTCACTATCTTTATTTATTGTTCTATCTTAATTAAACGTCAAAACAGAATACATGCTATTATCACATACATGCAAAGTTTGTCGCTAGAGAGATGTTTGCTGGATTCTTATTTTTTAATAGTTTCATCTATCGTTACGAAGACTTTCGTCAGAATAAGTGTCTTTACTTCTGCCTCTGGGCTGGAAAAGTGTTTTGAGAATTTTTATACGGTTTACAATTATCACTACTCTGCAAAAGGTTCCTGGAATAGACTTGCTCCAATACTGATAATATTTTATCGATATATGTTTTTAAAGACGACTTTGTAAAAACTGTTCTCATTGAAGTACCATAGTGTTCCCGACTTCCACATATAAATTGTCTAATTCAACATCGTTCTTACATCTGTTTGAAAATAAATGAGTACAACACAGAAAACAAAGCAAAAACGTAAAAAAAGTTATATTTCAACATACATTTTATACCTATAAATAAAATATGTCTGGTTTACGTCCATGAGACAGCTACCTAACAACCATTTAAAACCAAAAACTACGATTAAAGACCTCCAACAGAAGAATATTTAATGTATTGAAATATCATGACCTTTAAATTTAATCGACTCAATATAGTCAGTGTTATGAGGGCCGAAATTATATCTATGAGTGATAATTGAGAAGCCATTATTTTTTTTCTTCTTTCATTCTTATAATTAATTTCATTCTTTTTTTTCAATCAGGAGACAAAATGTGCCTACGGTTTGATAGTTATGGCTACCCTGTGGCTAACAGAGGCTTTACCCATACCGGTTACAGCATTGCTTCCTACGGTTATCTTCCCTTTGTTGGGTGTCTCCACAGCAAGGACTATTTGTTCGAAATACATTAATGTAAGTTCAAATTAGTATTTATTGTTTATAATGCATATTGGTTAGTTTAGTTTTGTTTTTCAACATATTAAAGAATAATGTTATGCAAATAATCTCACTTAATATACATATTAGTAGTGTTTTTACTGAATGACTACCATGAATAAAACAACGATTACACAACTTAATAAAAATGATAATAACACTTTATATTTGGTGCATTCGAAACAGTTTTCCGGATTACAAATATTTTACCTTATCGTGGTACCTCAAAACCAATAAAAAGGATGTATAAATACTTCAGGGCCATATATGGTCAAAAGGGACCATCACAGAAAGACAAAAAACCTTCTAAGGTCAACTTAAAAAGGAAGGCATATATAGCATTCCTTTATCATTATAATTTAGATAGATTAATCAGCTTAACACTGGTTCTCTTTTTGCGGTTTCTGCAAACAGAAATAACCCATTTTAGTGGAGAGTATCAGTCACTTTCGATAAGTCAAATATTTTTAAAATGACATGAAATATGCCGGTGACGTATTGAATATGTCTATAGATACAGACAGTTTACATTTCTGTATACAGTGAAAAAAATAGAAGTCTCACGAAAACTGACTGGACAAGGTTTAACCCATTCAAGAAAGCCAGGAGTTTTAGTATGTAATTTCTTTTTAAATTTTTGTGTTATATTCTTTTTGGTTTTACTTGTTTAGATTGGTAAGCGACTAAAAATATTTTGAAAATACTATACACTTAAAATGAATTAGGGATTTGAATGTTTTAGGACACGACTGTATTGTTCTTGGGAGGTCTTGTAGTTGCTGTTGCTGTAGAGGAAGTAGGATTACACACGAGAATAGCCATGGGTATAATATCTGTATTGGGATCGAATCCAAATATGTAAGTAAATGTTTTTCGTGTAGTATTACAGGACTAAAAAGGAAGGTAAACATGCATTACAAATCCGGTGTGATTTTCTATAACGTCAAATACTAGTATAAACAATCGACGAATGCGTAGTAGGGAGAACATGGTAAGAGGGTTTTAAAAACAATTGTGGAAACAGGATAACAATGAAATGAAATATAAGATACTTTAAAATGTGTTTTTGGTTCATCTATATGTTTCGGAGTTAAGTGTGACGTCCATTTTCTCTGAACTAGTACATATTTTTATTTAGGGGCCAGCTGAAGCCTGCCTCCGGGTGCGGGATTTTCTCGCTGTGTTGAATTCCCATTGGTGGCCTTGGGCTGTTTTCTGCTCTTTGGTCGGGTTGTTGTCTCTTTGACACATTCCCCGTTTCCATTCTCAATTTTATTCTAGAAGCAGTTTGCTTTTTAAAAGTACTTACAAGTACGTATCCCTCACGTCATTGTTCACGACAGTCACGCAGATTGCGTTCAAAGAAGAAATCTTCCCAATATCCACAGGGAATATGTGAATCTCCAAGGTGTTTAGATAGTATTAATTATTAACATAATTTATATTTCATTTACTTTTACCTTTGCCTTTTTTTAATTTTGGTTCAGGTTAATGTTAGGACTGATGTTACCAACATGGTTTCTGTCCATGTGGATCAGTAATACAGCAGCGACATCTATGATGATTCCCATCATCCAAGCAGTTATGACTCAGATAAAAGAGGCCAACAAAATAAGGTTGGAAGGAGCTAAAGGTATGCACGTAGTCTTGCGCCTTCTTACATACTAATTTTTGTATATATTCTAATGATATTCAGGTACTGTTTATTGTTTCGGAGCAAATGAGTGCATCCCGGTTATTTGTTAGGTTTTGCGATGGTCAATCTCGTGTTTTTGTGTAGTATCATGGCCATGGTATTGTCTCATTTAACTCGACTGCTGTTTGTTTTATTGCGCATTGTTCTGCAGATATCTGCGTCGAAAACGAAATGTCTTTTATACATTATTTGTCCGCCCATAAAAGGTAGTGTTAGTTAGGTACATGTTTATGGTATAGTTACATGTTATTTATAATTTATATATTAATGCTAAGACATCTTTGGAAAAAGTATGACAGCATGTTTTGTTCATTTTTGATATCATAATAAATTCGTGTATGTGTAGTAACCTTGACATTTGTAATGTTGACCTCTTTTAGTGTAACTCGTTAAAAATATTTTGGAATATAAACATGTAATTTACCTACATGAGTAGAAATTCAGTTGGTCACTCAAAGAGCTCAACATTACACACAGGAAAATTCCAAGACAAAAACCCATTGACCCATACAATTTTAGTACAAGAGATAGTTTACCCTTGGCGTAAGTCCGAGAAAAGCTCAAACACATCAAACGAATGGAGAACAACTGTCATATTCCTGACTTGGTACAGACATTTCCTTGTGTAGAAAATGCTGGATTAAATCTGGTTTTAAAGCTAGCTAAACCTCTCGCTTGTATGACAGTTGCATAAAATTCCATTATATTGACAACATTGTGTGAACAAAACAAACAGACATAATAGGTAAAAATATCTCAAATCAGGAAAAGCACTTAATTCAGTTATACATTGTTTCGAATAAAAATGTTACTAGAATCAAACAGAGTACTTTATTTATGTATATATAAAATAAAACAACACGTTATAAATTTCATGTGTCCGAAGCGCTTTTCTGGATTTATCTTTATCAGGAACGCTCAAAGCCTAATATTTGATATTGGGTGCTCAATGATCATCAATGTCGTTCACACAAACTTGGAAAGTCATCTGTTTTTAATATCTGTTTTGAGGTGCTCATTTTAATTTTTAGAACGGAAACTGTTACTTGAAGGTAAGGAAATGGTAAATGGGTGTTAACACTTTATCTGTTATAAATGGTTACATTTTACCACTATATTTATTTATTTCGTTTTTTTTCCTTTATCTAACATATATAAATGTCTACACTGTATTTATAAACTTCTTCATCTTTGTCCTTGAAAACTCTTATGATTTTTCTTCTGTATATAACTGTATGAACTAATGCATACTAATATGTTCTATTTTACGTGTTCATGGTCCCTGTTAAGATTTGGCAAACCTTTTTCTGAATCGTCTGTCATAATTGATATACAATAAGGAACCAGATATGGTGAATAATCCTTCTGGGTCATGTTATTACACTTCCGGCTTTTGGATTTCCTGTTTTTACTGTCTTACGTTGTTCACCATGGCATTTTTCATTAGTTTTTGTTAAACAAAAGAACGAATACGGTGTTAAAATTCATAACAAAAATTGCACATCAGTTCTATATCTCAAGTTCCTAAAATGAGGCCTTCAACACTGAGCAAGACTTTACACATCACTGCATGTTCTTGAGGGATCTAGCATCTTTTTCATCTGAATTTGTTTATAGAAATCGACAACGCGTCATCACTGTGTAGCATCACCGCCGGATATAGATACCCCCGAGGCATTGAAAAGTTATTCTCCGTTCAATTTATCCGCTTTGTTTACACGAATTTCTCTATAAAAACAAGTTTATTTCGAAATACAGTGTTGTTCAAGCTTAAATATGATATGGCTTTGATAGTTCTACGAAAACGTCAAATGAATAGTTGAAGGATAAATGTGTTTTATCAAGTTTGAACTCGCCATATGCTTCTTTGAACAGGTACCACCCTGTCCAATTCTGACGAATTGAAGAGAGAGAAAGCCAATTGAATAGTAGCTACATTATTAGGAATCACTATCACAACACTTTACTTGTCAGCAAAACGTAGAATATAAACTAAAAATATTAAACTTTGACCTTACCTGACTTCACATTTGGGGTTTTTTCACCGCTTCGGTGGTACCTATATCTGGTGGTGATGCTTCTCAGTTTTCATCTGTTTATAAACAAAAATGTCCAAATTGTCGAAGTTTAGTCTTTCATGTATTGGACTTTTAATTTTTGAATATTGCCATATTTTTTTAAACATAGGGTTTCGAACACTTACGGTTTGGTAGATTAGTTCACATTATACCTTTTCTGCTCTTTCCGTTATTTTTAACTTTAATATGATTATATAGTTTCATTTGTTAATTACAAGTAAACTTTTAATGTGAATACACATGTATGTTGGCTCCGATAAATTGTCTTATGAATTACTTTTCTTTTGACTAAGTTTATTTTATCAATGGTGTTACTTGTCCACTACTTACGAATAGCGTATAACATTATAAAAGTAACTATTCAAAAGAAAAAAATTAATATCTTTAGTACGCAAACTACTCAAATTTTATTTGGTCAATTTTTCTGTTTATTAAGTTTGAAGGAAACTATATGTATATATTGAGAAATTTGTCAGTGACAAGTTTCATATCTTTTTATAGATGTTTCTGAGTCAGAAAATCCAACCATACAAACCAGAGATTCGATATCGGTAAATCCGAGCGAGGGGAAAATTAAAAATGGTGCGATGCTTACCGTACCAACAGACACACAAATTTCCCCCGCCAACGACTCTGCAGCTTGGTAATAATTATGGAATATTATTTATTGTGAAAAATCAAATATGAAATTAATAGTATTTCTTTTATGGCAATGTGTATCGAAATCGAAATAATAATTATATGCAGTGAAGTAAAATAATTTGCTCTTTTTATTTTAACATGAATATTTTTAACAGGGTAAATGAGCTTCACATATTTTTGTCTTAACGACGGGCAGTCTTTCATAATATATCATAAGTTTGGTTTACTGGTTAGAAAAATAACTAGATTTATAAATTTCTATCTGATCTGTTAGGACACACTAAAATATAATTTAATTGATAAGAAAAATAAAACAAAAATCCCGAACTCCAAGGCAAATTCAAAAAGTGGAAGTCCATGAAAACTGATAAAATCAAACGCTATCAAAGAGGGACGAAAGATACCAGAGGGACAGTCAAACTCACAGATCGAAAACAAACTGACAACGCCATGGCCAAAAATAAAAAGACAAACAGACAAATCATAGTACAGATGACACAACATAGAAAACTAAAGACTAAGCAACACGAACCCCACCAAAAACTGGGGGTGATCTCAGGTCAATCAACGGAACAAGTGAAAAACAACTGCAATATTCTTGACTTGGTACTAGCATTTTCTGAAGAAAATGGTGGGTTAAACCTGGTTTTATAGCTAGCTAAACCTCCCACTTGTATGACAGTTGTTTATAGTTCCGTTATATTGACAAAATTGGGTAAGCAACCCTAACAGTGAAATGGCAGTGATTTATCATATTTAAGTCTATTATCATGATCCGTTTTGCTTCTTTATACTCGGAAGCAATAGGCTACTTCACGATTATTGCAGTCATATTGAATAGGGGAATTTTTTTTGGATAGAGGTGGAAATAGTATGAAAGTACGGGAAATCGGAGTGATGTTTCCAAGCAGCTGTTCTGTTTCAATGATGTTTTCCCGTATTTTTCAAACCATTTTTACCTCTATTATGAAAATCTGCCCCCTAATCAACATGGCTGCAATAACCGTGAAAGGGCCTATTATCAATCCAAACTAATCAATATTAGCCTACAGAATAACTACAAATCCAGCAATGAGCTTCAGCAGAACTAAAAATTATAAAAAGAATACGACGACAATAAATATTATGAATAAAAGGAAATATGGATTATACGTCAATGATGCAGCAATCCATGAAAACAATGAAATAAATAAAGATGAATAAATGTCAATTGTCTGTCTTTACCAAATAGACATAATTCACTATAAAAGATGTACACCAAGCAACTTTGCACCCTTTGGTTTTATAAGGAATTCTATTTTGAGTATGTTAGAAGATGAGAAAAGTACAGAAAATAGTGAATTGAGACTGTTTGGCAAAGGACTGGCACTTGGCGTTGCTTATGGTGCAAATGCAGGAGGCATTGCTACACTGACCGGTACTCCTCCAAACCTGATATTGCAGGGACAAGCTAACGAGTAAGTTCAATGCTTATGCTATTTCCATTGTGTATTACAAAAATGGCTTAATTATGCTCGATGGCAAAAGTATTGGAGATCATATACACCACTTAAATCGGGTGCTTAAAACCTTAACAAAACTGTTTAAAAAACGCCTTTAAGTGAATATACGAATGATCGAGATGAACCTTAATTTTGTTAGGGATTTTACCAATTGATTGATTTTATGTGCTGTACGCCAGAGCAGAAAAAAACATTGATTATATATATAGACTGAGCATGGGATTAAATGAGGTGGGATGGGCACGAGTGCTGCTGTGTTTTTTTCGTACTTGAATTCCCAACTCTCCCAACACGGGCTACGTACTTGATACATTCTGCAAAACCGCGGACAGGGTAGGGTATTTTCGTTCTCCAGTTGATGAAAAACCGTCCAATTTATGTACTCCCGAAAAAATTGTATTAGTTATACAAAGGCTTTTAAGGATGAAATCAAAAGCACTGGTCAATGAAGATAACTATACTAAATTTAATGCCAAGGACATATGTTGGTAGAATATAAGGCTAAATACTACACGTGTTGTTAGAATATTAAGCTGAATACCACACGTGTTGATAAAATAAGCTCAATGCAACACGTGTTGTTTAAATAAGCTAAATGTCATACACGTTGTTATATAAAGCTGAATATCACACGCGTTGTTAAAATAAGCCAAATGTTACACGTCACGGTCGTTAGAATAACCTTAATGCCAAAAGTTTTGAAGGCAAAAATATTTTCAAATGAATATCTATTATTTTAGGTGGCAATCTATACTGTTTTTTCTATAATAATTTTCATTACGTTTGATTGGTATCATGCTTATTTCTGCAAGCAGAAATTATTTAGGGAAAAAATTTGACCTCGGGTGTATTTGTGATTTTTAACAAGTTGTGTTCCCATCACACTTATAAATTGTTTCCAGGTTTCCTAAAAAAAAACATGAGTGTGTCACAGTGTCAACATACCGTTCATAAAACTTCAAAATTGCCATTCTGACCTAGGACACATATGGCCACCTGCTACATATGGATGAATGTACCTTTAAGGCCCCAGATAATTAATGTGATAAGGTTGTTTTGTTTTTAAGATTGACAGTTCTTTTGAAAAGAATAGGAAATTCATAAAATAATTCCAAAACAACTACCTATAGTATTGCTAGCCTACCTGGCCTGGAAGGCCATACTATATATTTGCATCTGTCGTCCGCACTTAAACTTTGAACATTTTCTTCTATCCTCTTTAAGCAATTAGTCAATTTTAACCGAAATAGGCAGATTGATTAATCGACCCTCATTTTGTTTTTGATCAAACGAATAACATGGCGTTCATCGGCAATCTTGAATTTTGATAGGCCAATTTGAAAAAAAAATCTCCTCTAAGACAACAAAGCAGTTTTAAAAAAAATATTTGCTTGATGTTTTGGAGATCCTCTACAAACGATCCTCGTTTAATGTTGATTGGGTGGAAAACATGGTGGAATTGGTAGCACATAGGTCTCGTTGAAAATTTTAAAAATCACACGCTCATTTTTTTCTCTGAAACAACTCAGTCAATGTGAAATAAACTGGGCAGGGATAATGTAAAGAAGGACTGCTACAAACTATCCTTATTTTGTTCTAATCGCACGAATACCATGACCATTAGAGACAATAATGTTTCTGATTTGAGAACTCTGAAAATCTTCTCCTCTGAAACTTAATTGCGAAAGTTTTGAAAACTTACAGGATTGATGATTGGAATACCCTATACAAGACAATTCTATTACTGTTGTTTTATTTTTTTCAACCAAAAATAATCATGGCGAGAGATTCTGGCAAGTTGGTGGTTTTTATTTTAGAATATTCGATAAAAGATCACCCGGGTCAGACTCTGGTATTACATTTGCTAATTGGATGGGATTTGCATTTCCGCTGTCGATTGTTATACTGCTGCTGAGTTGGATATGGTTACAATTATTTTTCCTGCGGTCATTGTGAGTATATGTGTTGTAGTTAGTATGCAAGACAAGCAATGTATGTTACATGGTGTACTTGGTGTACTTTACATGGGTTCAATTCAATCAAGAAACCATGTTTAAGTTGCTTTGTATGAATTTCAACAACCTAAACACCTCATGTCATGTGGGTGGAAGAAAGGATGCATATTGAGTATGATAAGACTTTCGTAATTCATGGAGGTATACTTCAATTAGGGAGATGACCCATTAAATCAGTAGTACGTTTTTAAAAGTCAGTTTAATCAGGCATACTTTTGAAACATGATTAAAATAATCTCTGTTATTTAGAAGCTTAGAATATATACATATGTATTCATATAAACAAACGAACCAGTGATTTTTAAAAGTTATGTCCCTTGACCAAGTTCTACCTCCTCGACGTTAAGATTCAAATGATAGCTAACTCGGTTACATTTAAGACCTTTCAAATAATGTAATACAATACATAAAGGAGGTCAAAACCAACCAAGACCACTTCCACACAGGCTTACTGGGGGTCAGACTCAAAATATGATAAGGGTTAAATCCGTTTTACACGCGCACAAACCAACCCATTTCCCTATCAAAATCATATGTCATATAAGTAAAACACATATTAAAAATTCTGTGCAGTTGAACAAGGTGATTTTTTAAAAATCGGAGACAACTCTTCTAATAGGTTTCAATGAAGTTTCTGTATAAAATTGATACATACATTTAGATAATTACTTGACATCTATTTTGATGCTTGCTTACGTTTTCAGTTTAAAACAAAATTAAAATTATTCCACTAATCTATATATATATATATATATGTTTTAATTAGACAAAGTGTTGGAAAAAGAAACACATCAAACATACCAGGCTAATGTGGAGAAATGGTCAACAGTGTTCTTTATATATTCAGGTGTATACGAAAAACAGACGCAGTGAGGACCGCAGCAATTCAGTCGGCTATTAGACATGAACGCAAGAAAATTGGACGAGTGACGTAAGTTTCATTTTCGGAGACTGGACGCTTTTTGATTTCAAATTTCCATTCAGCTTATAACTATTTGTCCGCAATTGAAGGACATCTTGCTAGACTTTCCCGTAAAATAAAGGCCGTCGTAAGAGGAAAAGTTTGCAACTCCAATTCAATTTTTTATGACTAGTTTATCAAGTGTCGCAAAATCTTATAAAAATTATAAAGATTATGCACTGGTATTAATACATAAGTTAAGTCAGTCATTAAAAAAATTTAAATCTTATTGGTTTTCGTGAAGACACCACCGACCCATAGAACAATTAAGTAGACCCTTTTGTTATTAGCGAATACTAGCTAAATATAAGTGACATATTACTGAAAGTTGCATAACCGAAAAAAATCTTCGGTTATGCAACTTTCAGTAATATATAACTTATATTTAGCTAGTATTCGCTAATAACAAAATGATCTACTTAATTTTTCTTTGGTTGTCTTCTAATAGAATCGTTTGTTGTTGTAATTTATCGATCATTCTTGGTCTTTCAGATGCAACTTTTTAGAACTTGCGGTAACTTGTAGAAAATACGAGCTACACAGTGTATGCATAACTTTAGATCCTTCATGACAACGGTGTAACATCATAATATTTCTCTGTCAAAATCATGCTATTTCTTGTTAATTAATGTAATTTATTACTGGTAGTAAGAATATGTGATTATGTATATGTAATCATACACAAATCAGGAAATAATGAATTTCAACATAATAAATTATCAACCGAAGTCGTTTAAATATACCACACAAAAAAAACAACTTGCAAAGCTATAGAATCACAACAGATGTGGACAACAAAATAATTATAAAACTTTAGTTTTCTATGTTGTGTTTTGTGTAGTGTTGTTTGTCTTTTCCTCGTTTTTGGTTTTTTAGTTTTACTGCAGTGTATAGTACAAAGCATAGACTTACAATGTACAGTGCTTTCATCATGGTTTTATGATGACTGATTTGTGATGAATATGTTTTATTATGCAAACAAAGACTGTGTTTTATAGTTATTATCAAAAGTCTCTTTTGAATAAATCTACTATTTACCTGTATGTACCTTTATTATTGACGCAAATGAAATGTTTTATTTTTGGCGCAAATGAAATATGGTTTGTGCGCAAATGAAAGATTTTTTGGCGCAAATGAAATGACAATTGGCGCAAAAGCAAAGCACCGGATACATTAATGCCAACTCCAACTTGCATAATTGAATTCGTTTTGATTTAATTTTTCTGTTTTCCATTACTAATAAGATAAGATTTACATTTGTAAAAATCATTAAATTCAATTCAATTGATTTATGCAATACAAAATTATTATAAAACGTTCTCATTTAAGTGATTCTGTTTATGTTATTATGATAACACGGAAAACCTACTTACAAGCAAGGACGGAAGCTTGTAAACTGCAAATTTTTAACGCAGAACTTTAAAATTTCGGTGAGACTATACGATCTTTCTTAGGAATTTACCAATGTTTTACGGAAAGAAGACCATCTCCATTTGAAAGTTTAGCGCTTCGGGTGTTCTTAACGTTCAAGAATCTAAATCCTCATCAGACATAAACTCATCATAGATACCAGGATTAAAATTTTATACGCCAGACGCATAGCCAGAAATTAGTAGTACTTTTGCTAATTAATATTCATAATATGTAAATGAGAATTGTACCACGTGATAATAGTTTGAACTGGACTGGCTTGATATCATTAAAATCTTTAAAACACGGATATTATAAGTTGCCCGTCACAGAGTCCTTGTTTATAATCACTCTGATATTTCCGTAAAGTTGTCAGGCTATGGAACGCCACAGCTGTCTTATGTGGAACTCTGATACTACTTCATGTTGTTTTATTATTACTTGATGATATTTTGTCTTTACTTAATATGGTTTTGACATTACGTAATGATATTTTGATATAACTCAATATGGAATAGTCATTACTTAATGATATTTCGATATTACACGATATGATTTCGTATTGACTTGATATAGTTTTGTCATTACTCAATATGGTTTTGTCATTACTCGATGTGGTTTCACCATTATTTAATGTGGTTATGTCATTAGTCAATGTGGTTTTAACATTACTTGATGTGAATGTGACTTAACGTTATGTAGTTGTTTCATTACATGATGTGGTTTTGTTATTTTGTAATGATAATTTGCCTATTCTTTATATGGTTTTAACATTACGTAATGATGTTTCAAAATTTGACGATTTTACACTACATGATGTGTTTGTTTCATTATTTGATGTGGTCCTGTCATTCTTTGATGTGGTTATCCCATTACTTGATGAGGTAAAACCACGTGACCAATTCGGAAAAAAATATGTTCTATTTTTAAACAGATTTCAATATATCGTTTGTTTAATGTGCTTTGGATGGGTAATGCTATCCATTGAGTTAAAGTTCAAATTAAAGTTCGAGTGGTTGTCCATTTGGTATGAAAAAGGGGAACGGCAGACAATAATAAGAAAAAAAGTATTAAAAAGTTTACAGTATTTCGGACATAATTGGGATATCCCCAAACCACTTGGTCCTGTTGTTTTTATCCTAAGTTCTCCAACGGAAGCAGTATTTTTGTAATAAATTTGTAAAATATTCCACGGAACCATGTGTCTCGCCTGATATTGCTGCTGTAAGTGTAAAAGCGTCATGTTGATCGGCTACATACATTTATCTATACATTTATCGGTAAAAACAAAATTAAAAAAAAAAAGGTTTTTCTGTAGATACTTTTTCTTGAAATTGAGGAATAACTCCTATACAAGTTTTAAAACACTTCATGGAGGTTTACAAATTTATCATGTCAAAACAGTTCAATTCGGTTTTATTTAACTAAAACAAAACTGTATGGTTTTCAACAATGAGCAAAACCCATATCCTATAGTAAGCTATAAAAGGTTCCGAAATGAAAAATGTAAAAAACTAGAAACCTAACGATCTATATATAGATACATAGATACTTTATTCTCTAAAAACTAAATACACATTTACAGAGAAACATACAATATAAATACAGATACAATAGTCGAGGTAAACAAATACAGTATGATATTCTAAAAGTACAAAACTATGATGGCATACATGTTTAGTAACATGTATAATGAAAGGTTGAACTCAATAGAAATAAAACAAAATGGAGATGGAGACGCCGACGCCACTATCGACGACGAAATATAGGTTTGTTGTGTCTCACTGCCGCTACATTGATGTCGCAGGCTCGACACAAATCAAAAGACTTGAATTTTATTGTTAACAAATGAAACACTTCAAATCAACTCACACTAAAGTTACAGGAAACGGGGGTGGAGGGGGGGAGGGGGGAGAGAGAAGGGGCTCGGACTAAGCGACAAAGCATCAATACTATAAAATAAGAATCGAATTTTTTTAAGGGTAAATGATCATTTGAACTTATACAAATATCAATCTTTTATTTGTAATCAATTGAATTCCCTGATCTACCTCGCACTAATTGAAAAATAAACTTTTTGGAATATCTGTTTCACATGTGACAACAGACATGTTCCAGTGGTTGTAACCATAATACCGTCATCTTTTCCTTGAATGTAAACTACCAAATAAAACCAAATCACTGGGTTTTTACTTTCTCTAATAACAAGACGGGTGCCTTTCTCGAGCATCCGAGATCACCCCGATGGATTTATATTACCCAGTCATACCGATCTGTTAAATCAGCCAAATGAAACTGTTTTGTATGCCACCGCAACTGAAAGTGGGGGGGGGGGCATATTGTTTTACCCCTGTCCGTCCGTCCGTCCGTCTGTCCGTCCCATCATGGGTACATAGTTATTCCGCATAACTCCTCCTACAGTTTGAATCATAGGAAGTTTTCTCTTTACTGTCTGTTTGTACATATATTGCAGGTGTGCATGTGGTCAGGGTTTAATGTTTATTAATATTTGCTCTTTTGGGAGATAGTTGAACTTTGTAATTTTTTGGGAAATTTACTTGCATGAGAAGAGCGTTTCCAGATAACTCCTCCTACAGTTTGAATGCTAGGACATTTTCACTCTGCTGGCTGTTTGTACATATATTGAAGGTGTACATGTGGTCAGGGTTTTTATTTTTTTTTAATCTTTTGCTCTTTTTGGGAGATAATTGAACTTTTTTTTGTCATTTTTGGGGTATAAGCGGTTAAATGAGTTGAGTGCGGGGGCATCACTTTGTCTAGTTTACATTTTTTTCTCGTGATGTGCTGTTACACAACTGTAACAGTCCGATGTAAGGTTAGGATTTAGCGCTCACATACATGTTAAACTCCGCCACGTGCACTTTCTTTATGTACCTGCCCCAAGTCAGGAGCATGAAGTTCAATTGTTGTCGTTGTATAAATGTGTGTCATTTTCTTTTTGTAGATTGTTTATTTATAAATAAGACCGTTTGTTTTTTCGTTTGAATTTTTTCACATGGTGCATGGTGGCCTTTTGTAGCTGACTGTACGGTGTGTTGAAGGCTGTACGGTTGCCTATATATGATTTCTTACATCCACTGCATTAAAACTCTGGTGGATAGTTGTCTCATTGTCAATCACACCACATCTAGCTTTATTTCAACTTCTATGTTGCGTTTTGTATACTGTAACATTGTTTATCTTTTGTACGCATACCCCGGAGCCCTCTTTTCGGAAGCCCGATCGAGCAAAAGTCCTTGTTCCGCGATAAAAAATTTAATAACGAACCCACATAAAATATCTCGAATTTCAACTCATAATCTTAATTAATCTAGATGAGACTTAAATTCGAATCTTACTCAAACTCTACCTCAAAAAGTGCCTCAAATTTAATGTTGTAACTAGAACTCTACCTTTAAATGTGACTCAAACTCGAAGTCCAACTCGAAACTCAATGCTAACTAAAACTTTAATTCTAATAATGACTTGCATTCGAAATCGAAGACTAACTCAAAGTTTAACTCAAACAGTAACCCGAACTCTAATTCGATGGATGGCCACACTCATCCAAGGCACATACAACATAGAAATCTATCTAAAAATAGAACAGGTTTTTCCAAATTGGTCACGTGATTTTACCTCATCAAGTAATGGGATAACCACATCAAAGAATGACAGGACCACATCAAATAATGAAACAAACACATCATGTAGTGTAAAATCGTCAAATTTTGAAACATCATTACGTAATGTTAAAACCATATAAAGAATAGGCAAATCATCATTACAAAATAACAAAACCACATCATGTAATGAAACAACTACATAACGTTAAGTCACATTCACATCAAGTAATGTTAAAACCACATTGACTAATGACACATCCACATTAAATAATGGTGAAACCACATCGAGTAATGACAAAACCATATTGAGTAATGATAAAACTATATCAAGTCAATACGAAACCATATCGTGTAATATCGAAATATCATTAAGTAATGACTATTCCATATTGTGTTATATCAAAACATCATTACGTAATGTCAAAACCATATTAAGTAAAGACAAAATATCATCAAGTAATAATAAAACAATATAAAGTAATATCAGAGTTCCACATAAGACAGCTGTGGCGTTCCATATCAGGCGGTCAAAATCAAAACAATGAACGCGAATTTAGTGAATTTTTCATGTTTTCGTGAGTTTATTCTTCTTGAAATAGAGGCATTTTAACTTTACGTGGGAACCTAGAGTTCAACGACTACACATACAAGGTTTGGACTTGCTTATTATTTGGACATTCAAGTTTCAAGTTTCGCCCCGGCAACCTGCATTTCTAATGACCTTGTTAGCCAATTTTCAACACAAAGTTTGCAAATTTGACGTTTCAGCCATTTTAGCCTGTATTTTATACTGCAATGTTAAAAGCCTCTCGCTTCGATTTTTAAAATAGCTCAGGAACCTTGATTTTTGCAACGACAGTCATTATATTTCGTTTAAATGGTGTATATTGTTGTGTCTATTTATTTTCTGCCCCGGCAACCTGTCTATCACTTAAATCATAGTTAAAACAGACATTTTTTCTAAATTCCCTATCATTTTAAAATAATTTCCGTGACCCGTATCCGATTTCTTTAGTATTTTATTCAAATAAGCAAACTGGCGTTGATTTCTGGATATGGCGCGTTTCGTCTATAAGAAACGTCATCAGTGACGCTCGAATCGAAAAAGTTAAAAAGGCCAAATAAAGTACGAAGATATACGAGGCTTAAAATTGCGTTTCGTCTTTATTTGACTCATCAGTGTTTCTCGATTAGAACAGTTAAATGACAAATCAATAACAAAGTGGAAGAATATTGATAATCAACCAATCAAAAAAGGCAAAAGGTCATACTTGCCCTAGAGTAGAAAATCACATAAATGTCAGCAATTATGGGTTAGTGACTCTTTCGGGGACAAAAAGTTCACTCTGACTGATGTACATTTATCGACCCAGTGATTGTAAAGATTTGTCAAAGATAAAAAGTGTAAACAAATGCAGAGACAAATCTTCACACGCTATTGTGTTTCGTTTTAAACAGAATAGGTTGATGGATATGCACAAAAATTTCAAAAATATTGAAAATTTATATAAGCTTTTTCCAGTACGGACAAGGCGTTTCGTTTACCTCGAGTTAAGCCAATGACAGATTTCCTAATCTAAGCAGAAAACATCAATAAAATGCATTTTTACTATTTTAGTTACTAGTAAGTCTTATTTTATATTAAGAGAACACAGAGAATATCAAAATCTTTGGTCCATGACCTTTTTCTTGTGTAAAACATGTCAATAATGAGTAACAACAAAAGTACCATATTTAAATTATAATGTAGGAATATGTTATATTACAAATAAACTCTTATGTTTTTAAACTAAACGTATCTGAATTGTCTCTCTTACATTTCTCTCTCTAACATTCAAGACTTAAGGTTGTTATTTTCTCTCAGTGTCATGCAGCTATTTTAGTATATATCCTTATGAGCAGTTTTCATTTATTTTCCACACATTTTTTTAGGTTTGGTGAAATTGTGGTCCTGATTTGTTTTATATGCTTGGCTATGTTGTGGATATTCAGAGATATTCCAGGATTAGGAGGATGGGCATACCTATTTCATCTTGATAAAGAGTAAGCTAATAATATGTATTTATATTCTCCTTTATCTATCCATTGAGTCATACATCATTGTACGGAAAAAAAATTGTCGTATGTTTTCTCCAATTACTTCATTGATTTCACCTGAACTGATGTGGCTTAAAAGCACTAAACAATAACAAGTGTTTCTATTGAAGAAACAATATATTTTGAATAAAAGTAGATGTATGCTGTTCGTCAACAAAACAGCAATTTAATTTCAAAAATAATAAAAAGACACGTGTTCCAATAATATTTCATGCCTTTATCTTCCGAAGACTTTAGAAGTCAAGATGTGACTGCATTAAACAGAGGCAATATCAAAGAACTGCAATCAACAACAAATTCTTTTAATATATAAGAAGAAAAAACATTTAAGGAATGACTGTAATATTTTGTATGTCTATGAAGAAATGACCAAAAAAATGTGGTATACACTGACTTACTCGCGTAGCGTGTTATTTAAAAGTGTGCACCACATTTTTTATGTTATTTCGAATAGACAGAAATTTTCATTTTTTTCCATTTTTAAGGAGTAAATCATGAAAAAAACGTTAATGACGTCACGGTCACATTACAAAATTATGTCTATGAGCTGATAGAAAAAAAAACATTCAGCCAATCAGAAGACGTGTACATCCAAAATTAAATTATTAAGATATAACATAAGACAGTCACTGACGATTTCCTAATTTTAAACTTAATAATCAGCAAGAGAGTTGAAAACTCAGTTTCTAGGTAAATTCGAATGATACATTTACTTGACTCATATCATTAGGGAGTAACATAAAACTTTGTGTTAAATATGGTGTATTAGTTACAAAATGAAAGTAACACTTTACAAGTTTGGTGCGGCCGAAGCGCTTTTCTAGATTAACTTATCAGCAGGAAAGATCAAACCCTAGAATTTGAAAGCCAAAAACGTATTTAATACTTAAAAAACTACAAATATGTATGACAAAAGGAACACAAAAACAATAGACAAATTTACCAAAAATCAATTTTGCCTAAGGGAGTTAAAAACTAAGTTTCTAGTTGATTTCTAAAATTATCAGGGTGAATCTTAGAAATCATGTTTGTTCCGAAACACTGACTATTAAGCTGATGATTCTTTCATGAACTAAATGTCAACCAGCATCAGTTTCAACCAAGTGCTAGAGGAGAAAAATAACATTCTTTTGTTTAGTCAGGTTGACATTAAAGCAGCGACCACGCAGCTGAAATTAATTAAGAAATTATATATTTTTTTTAAATGATCGTTTTCCTATCAGTCATGTATAGTCTATGTTTAGTACTTGTACGTTTTTATCTATAATACAGTTATTTTAGTTTCAAGGAAGTGTTTTTTCTTCTAATGATCTGATTATATGTACTTTTTCTAGGTACAAATCTTCCAAATGCGTCTTTGATCAGCTGTGAATCTGAAAAAATAACAAAACATCGCCAATTATTATAAATATTATTGTCGATTAAACTTGAGATTCTTAAATTAATAGAGTATTTTGATATAAGACTTTATAAAACAAATTCCACTGTATCACGTTATCGTAAAATTGCAAAATAACTGAATAATGATATTATACCTACCGATCAGCTTTTAACTTAAAGCGGAAAACAGTTATGACGAAGAATTCGAAAAAGGCTATATAGTTCAAGATAAAAAAAATGAAGCAGGTTGAGGTCTCCCAACAAACTAGTTCAACCCAGTCACATGTACATGTGCCTGTTTAACTAATTGTTTTATGTCATACCGTAATCATATTTTATTGAGAATTTGGTGTTGATGGCGAATCTTTGAAAAGTTTCTTTTTGATTGATTCACAGTTTTTACGACCTCACGTGATTTAGAGCTTGACACATCGAAAAGACGCATGTCTATTGTGTTAAAAACTCAATATTAACTTCGTTATTTGTGTCGATGAGACAGCATCCCTTTGGTAACAATTTGCTGAATTTATGAACCCGAAATATCCCATAAGACCTTTTATAATTCGGATGTATAAATAATGGTATAAATAATCCACTTGAGCAAAAAATCAAAAAATGAATTCATGGACTCATTGAATAGAACGAATTCAGTGACACTAATGAAGAATTAATCTCAGGAAATATCTAGGTACATATCTTCCAAATGCGTCTTTTACCTGCTGTGAATCTAAAGGGAAAAAGATATCACAATTTGTTCTGTATATTATCGTCCCTTGAATTTAATATTTCATTTAGCAATGGCATATTTTGATATAAGGCCTGTATATTATCGTTCATTGAGGTTTGCTTTTTTTACCTATATGAGAAAAACAGTTATGGTGAAGAATTCGAAACAGCTATATATTTATATAATTTTATGTTGACATTTATTTCAACAGTGGCAAACCCTTTGCAAGAGATTCAACAGCAGCAATGTTGATTGCTATAGTTCTTTTTGTATTACCAAAGTCAGTGCCTAATATATTCTGTTTCATAAAATCTAATGGTATGTTTTGAATTTATCTGTTAGGTGCATGTCATAATAGCACCATGGGGATACATTTAATTAATCAGCGGTTCAACTTTTTGCCAGTTTTTAATACGAGTCTTAATTTATGGCGTTACTCATTTCTATTTGCGAGTACAAAAGTAATCAAGCTAAGATAAGAATAAAGCAGCTATTATATTTTTTTCATACATCTGTGAAACCGTATTAAAGATATCACGTTTTACATTTAATGCACATTGTGTTTTTATTATAAATGAACGATTCAAAAGAATGTTTTGAAATCCAGTAATGTTGATAATCATAGCATATACAAATATCTAAAACAATGAATATATGTGTGTATGTTTAGACTGCAGATAAGACATCGATACAAAAGAACTATAAAAGGTTTTCAGAACTGAATTTTCCCACTGTATCAAATTAATTCTCTCTTTAAAGTATAAAGAAATGAGATGTGGGGTTATTGAATGGGAAAAAGGGAATCTATTATCACACTTTATTTCATTTATACCTGAAAAACAGGCGAACATTAAAGACACAAAACTAACATGGCCGGAATATAAATAAAATGCACAATTGCTTAAGTTATTTTATTTACATATTTTTTGTATAACTGTATTTCATAGTTTGTACAAATATGTTTATTTATATATATATATATATCTTATACTGAACTGCAGATGAAAAGCCGTCTTACTCACCCATTCTGACATGGGATAAAGTTGTACATAAGCTACCATGGGGTGTGATAGTTCTACTCGGAGGAGGCTTTGCTTTAGCAAACGCAAGTTCTGTAAGTATATTAAGGTTTTAAACAATGCACCACGGAAAACAAAGGGTGATATTTGTGTTCACCGATTTGTCCTGGCATTTTTCTAACCATAATTTAGTTTAACACAGGTGATCGAAATTACAATTCTGATTCATATCAAGGCTGACACCTATAATGGAAAAAGAAAACAAATTTATTTGACAACGTAAAATATTTCTACAATTTTCCAATTGTGAACTATAGGTGTTAAAGTTTATGTAACACCATTCAAGCAGGACCTGCATATGGAGTAAATATCTCCCACATAATATGATATCCTTACACTGTCGCTCCCTATTAAAATGTCCTTGATAAAGGATTTCTTTTTTCAATGAAGGAATCGTAATGATAAAGTTGAAGTCTTATCTTTAAATGTTAAACCGACACCAATATGACTAATATGTTGACCGTTATGGTTTTTTTTTTACTGCAATGACATAGAAGATATTCATTTGTTATAAAAAAAAACTCATCAAATTGCCAGGCTTTTTTATACACCAGACGCGCATTTCGTTAACAAAAGACTGATCAGTAACACTCAAATCAAAAAAAGATAAAAGGTCAAATAAAGTATGATTTTGGAGAGCATTGAGAACTCAAATTCTGAAAGGTTTTGCCAAATACAGTTAAGGTTATCTATTCATGATTAAGAAACTCATTAGAATTTAAAAGTTTTTAAACAGTTTATTTATGAATAGGACCGTATCAATGAAAATTCATGGTAACACAGAATTGTTGACTACTCGGTTAGTGATACCCTCGGGAAGGAAACCTCCACCACATTCCCATTACTTTTTCCTGTATGATCACGGAAAGCTACTTAGTTTTACCTTACATGCACAACGCGGTTGGTGCCATTAGGGAAGCAGTGACCGCACCCTTATATGTACCTAACTTTTCACATGGTTCTCGTTGCTTCAACTTTTATTTATTGGTTCCAATTAATGAGCTGTTGCGTATATTTTCTTCTTGTTTTTTTCTTTTGACCTTGGGTGTCAATGAAGGTTTCAATTTTCCTACGTGGTATCTTCTTACTTTTATCTACGCATGTCAACCATAACAATCATATGCTCTTAACGGTGCTTTATGTTTAGCAAACTCAAATTACCACAAAGAAGTCTGGTTCATAATGTTTTGCTTTTATATCGCCAATATCGAACTGTTTTATATGAATAAAGTTAAAATTTGGAAAACAAATTTAGAAGTGGAATTGCGTGAATAGGAAAACCTTGGAACATAGACATCAGGATAGAGAAACGCAGAAATATGTTTGCATTGCACTGTATTTTTTTTTTCATCTTTTAGTCCAGACTGATTAATCGCAGCTTTCAAATATTTTGTTTTGGGCGTTTCTGGTGATGAACAATCCAGAAAAGTGCTTTGAAGGCATACACTTTGTTAAGAGTTATTTTCATTTTTATTAGAGTTCAGGTCTTTCAAAAATGGTTGGTTGTAGCCTACGGGTATTTAGCCACATGGATATATGGGTAATGAATCTTATCATCTGTTTGATTGTGGCGGGAGCTACAGAAATTACAAGCAACAGTGCAACAGCTACTTTACTGATGCCAATCATGGCCGAACTGGTAAAATATTTATTATTATTCAATAATCTCATATAAACAATTTTATTAGATTATAATACATGAGCAAAACTTCAATATCTGTTGCAAATTTTATTCCTTCGAAGAATTGAACAATAACATTCGGGCAACTTAATTTTGTCAAAACATATTGCAAAGGTCTAGAGGAGATAAAGTTTAGAATTTAAACTTCATTAATTCAGTAAGTCTATTGCTATATTGATATAATTTGTTTTTCGTTAGCCTAAGTTTAGAATAACTCAAAACAACGCTTTATAAACTCTTTCTATTACATAGTTCCTATCTAACTCAAAGCAGAATTTCAGAAATTTTCCTTAATGCGGAGTTTGAATGGTAAAGCTGATTTGAATATTAATTAATTCAGATAACACAATGACGGGATGTATAAATACCTAACCACGCCAAAATATATATACCAAAAATGGACTAAACAGTAAAGGTTAAAATATAAAAAGACAAATAAAAAAACACTATAACACGTGATATAGATGATAAAGAACGTCAGTACCTAGAATCTGTACTTCAAGACAATCATGTATTATTTGTGAAGTTGATACGGAGTATTTATCAACACGGTCTTGGTATCTTCCAATGAACTTTTTTAGAAAAAGGTCGAGACATTCTTTGACATAACCCTGGTTCATCAACTTTCTGCTCAGACACTGGTGACGTTTTATAAAGTCTGAGTAGCAGCTGCAAGCTCTTGAATACCGAATGTGTTGGGAAATTTTTAATTTCACAATTAAAATCGTCTCGTTTTTAATAGATTCTGGTACTGAGATGACCACTGATGTCAAATTCAAGGTATAATGTGAAATGTACCAGAATATATTACTTTCGGGATATTTTCAACTACTTCTTCAATGAAAGTTAGAATTTCTTATGTGATGTCTCGACAGCATCTTCTTGTAGTTCCTGTAATATTTAGCCAATGAGACAACTATCCACCAGAGACCAAATGACGTAGATATAAGCAATTTGTAGGTCACCAAACGGTCTTCAACGATGAGCAAAACTCATACTGTATTGTAAGCTATAAAACGCCCCGCTATGACAAAATGTAAACGAATTCAAACGGAAAAACCTATGGCCTAATTTATCTACAAATCATTAGCCGAACGACAATCACTGAACTACAGTCCCTGAACATGGGACATGCACATATAGAATGTTTGTGAGCGCTTAACTCTCCCTCTTAACATGTACAGTGATGTAACAGCACCAATGCCTATTTATGCTTCCATATGAGTAAAAACGTTCTGTTCCAAGAAAACGTCATTGATGTACCTTATATGAATTCGATAAAGACTGAATGTGTTCTGTAAATTGCATTTGTTATTCGTTTTCGTCAGTGAACTATTTCCATGATTCAATCCCTTTTCTTACAGGCGTTATCGCTAGGAAAGAATCCTTTATATTTGATGATCTCATCAGCCGTTGCCTGTTCGTTTGCCTTCATGTTGCCAGTTGCAACACCGCCTAATGCCATTGTGTTTTCGACTGGAATTTTACGTATTCCTGATATGGTAAGTTTTTTATTGTATAGCCGTGACCTTTATTTGAGTAAATAAGTAAATTAAGTTTCACTCATCTAATGTATATATATATATATATTTTTCTGATATGAATAAGATCATAAAAAATCATCAAAGACTTAGTACATCAGAGGCGCTCGAATCAAAACAGTTGGAAAACAAAATTGCGATGACGAAGATGGAAAATAATACTAGTAGTCGAGAAAGATGCCAAAAACGTTTTTAAAAATCTATATTTAAAGACCATTCATACGATACATTACAAAAATACAATTTGTTAAATAAAATGCTGATCTATATGTTAGAAAATCCAAAATGATTTGTCAACTTTACAACTAATATTACAGAGAAAATCGGTTTAAATTCAGGACGTATATTTCCTTTATTTCTTGCAACAATAAGTAGAATCTGATTGAAATATTTCATACAATAACAGTGATGGTGGCTAAAACTAACTCAAAGTTATTTCAATGATTTAAGTAAACCTAGTTTATCTGACAATGACGTTTTTACTGGATTTTTTTTATCAGAAAATAGATTGTAAAAACATGACCTCTACTAAAGTAAGAATTTGAATTCACGGTATATTGCTAATTAATTAATATTATCCATGGAATCTTTTTACGCCGATTTTTTTTTCCGATTTGATTGGAAAAAACACGACTGTCATTGGCATTTTTCGAAATCCTTTTTTTCTGAACCTTAAGGGTTGAATGTTTAGAAACTTGGTGAAGAATAACGCCATCCAAATCTTAATTGTTCCAAAATACCTTGATTTGAGCAATTAAAAAGTAAAATAACAAAAATACCGAACTCCAAGGAAAATTCAAAACGGAAAGTCAAAACTAAAAGCTCAAACACATCAAGCGAATGGAAAACAACTGTCATATTCCTTACTTGGTACAGGCATTTCTTTATGTAGAAAATGGTAGATTAAACCTGGTTTTATAGCTAGCTAAGCCTCTCACTTGTATGACAATCGCATAAGCGGTCATTATGCCAGGCGAGCGATTCAGACTCCTAGGGTTCTCTTGTTTAGTCGTTTCAATCAAACAGCGTGTTGAATATATAATTTGCTTTCGAGCAAAAATAGTAAGATTCTTGCACAATTTTTACCCAGCATTTTGAAAATTTTCTTTCAGGCATCAGCCGGTATCATGATGAATGTGGTGGCCATATTAGCCCTTACTCTTGCTGTGAATACGTGGGCAATCCCTATCTTCAGTTTGGACGTGATCCCTAGTATTTTTAACAACACAGACGTGAACTCTACATGTTTATGAAATCAACGGAGACTATATGATCAATAACTGCTTTGAAACCAAAGTATATGCGGATCCTTGTTTGCTCAAAAAATGCTTACTACGTATTTTAAAAAAGGAACTGTGATAGGTGCTTAAATATAATTGCTCAATGAAAGAAAATCTTCAAATATAACACCAAGACTAGACAGATGCAATAAAGGGTATTGATTTACTATATGCTTATCAGGATATATCATATTTTGTAAGTGATTATCAGAAATTGTACGATACAGAGACAGAAATAATGATTGTATTTACTAAGTAAGAATTACTTTAATCTATTTTGATAGTAAAAGTATATATTTTGCAACCCTTAAGCTTCCCACTGAGCAATGTAAAAGAGCCACATTGCTCTTGATCATCGTAAAGGATAATTTTGTTGATAGCATGTGAACTCTTCATGTTTTCATGCACAAATTTTCGTTCTGTAATTTGGTCAGATCTTTTAGCCAATGATCTAAGGTTCTGTCAACAAATTCAATCATAACTATTGAATGATTATGGATTATCAATGTATTATGCATGTGTATTAATAAATTTCTTTTTCAAAAAGTGTTTTTCATAATGTTAGAATTAGGCAACTGTAGTTCACCGATGTTCAAATATAATAATGAATTAAGAATAAAAATATCCAGATAAAACAACAAAAACTGAAGGAATCGCATGAACTCTTAAAAGAGACCTGGTTTGTCGACTGGGTAAGTGTATCCTGCTGTGCATGCATCACCCGGTGTACAAATTCTCACGCATTCAGAATGTCATAATCCGGATTAGGACATTATCGGACAAATTACAGACCAGACGACTATTCTGGAATTTAAAAATCCTAAGACCTCGAAAACATGTATCTAGTGAGTTCGGACAAAGACACGTTTTATAGGTTAACCAATTCGTGATGGTGACAGAAAAAAAACTCTTGTAGTGTCGATTTCAGTCGTTCTTACTTATAACTATATAAGAGCAGATTTTGTTTAAGAAGAACATCCCTGTTAATAAATTTCAAATAATACACAGATGCTATACGATGGGACAGAGGGTATATAAGGTTATTCGTATCTCTAAGTGCGGCATTGCTGTACAGTTTTTGTGTAGTGCTATCCGTGTGTATATTTCAATTCCTCTAGTTTAGACACTTTTTTTCAACAACAAAATATTCAATTCAAGTTTAACATAACATTTGCTTTTTGTGTATCATTTGATTCTGCATCGATATCAATTTCACTAATTTAAATAGACAAATGCAGATCATTATATTGATGATACGACTAAAAAAGATATCGGGTATGCTTCAATTAGAAAGCAAAAAAAAAAAACAAACAACAAAAACATCTTGAGATCAACACATGGTTCTCAATAATAGGCTAATGTTTAACAATATGCCAAACTCTAAACCGCTTCAAAGTTAAGAAACGTTGTGATAAATTGAACATAGACGATTGAATACCAGACGGTAGATTGAAAAAGAATTAAATGATCATAAAATAATCAAATTCAAAACCCTATAATCTTGTTAAAAAGGTAAAGCGACCAACAGTATTTTAATTTAATGTTGAATATGTATATATTTTTTTCTTTTGGGGTAAATTTAAAAAGAGACGCAAGTGTATTGCATATATTTTTTTTTATATTATTAATCTATCTAAAAACCTAACTATGAAAGACTTCGAATGATAAAGAGGAAAGTATGCTCTGACAAAAATTGTAAGAATTATGGCATATTGATGTTAAAATGGTTCTCAGAATTTTCAACAACATGGTCGTGATCTTCCGTATCCAACAAAACAAATTGTTTCATATTCTTGTGTCGTGCGAAAAAAAAAAACAATAGCACAGCGGTGATACGTAGTCTTGAAAATACCTTAGCTTTGATGATAATTTTTGTCTCACAATTATTGATCTGATAACTGTTCGAGTTGAGTCAAATTTCCGATTTCTGATAATAAGGTCATTAAGTTAAATACAAGTAATTAATTTGATCTTATTAATATATGTATCACGACAAGGAGGTCCCATGTCACTCAGAAATCGTTAATTACAATAGCATTGATAAAGTAAGTAAAATAGATTATGACGAACAACACAGATTAGCAACCATGTAGATTTCTCGAAACAAGTTATCATACCATGAAAATGTAATAAATTAAATTGTTGCTCTCATTCAATAGAAATAAAGTTTGCTTTTTATTCATCTTTTTCCGAGTTTATGAATGTGTGATACAAAACCTGTGCTGAGGGAATTACATGTTAAATTACCTTTATCATTTCAGTATTTATTTGTATTTCTTGGAGGACGAGAAATTTCTTTTTATATTTGTAAACCATATAGGAATACAAAAGAAAAAAAATATGTTTAAAATATATTTGTATATATTTGTTTCATTTTAATTAGGAAAATTTATGGATTTAGAGGGTCTGTGCGACTTTTTTTCATTGCCTTCAAAAAGCGATATAATATCTTTAATGTACTTTAAACCATTCAAATTTTAACCATGGACAACATTTCATAATTAATAAACACTGAATAAAAAAAGTGTTGGGGAATGCTATGATACCGAAAAATATTTTCATATCAACTTCTGTGATTAGCCAAACTAGGTCTATCATAAAGAAACCTCATAAACGCTTTTACAAATTTGCATGATAATTACATAGCAATTCATCACATAGTGTGAGAGGAAAGAATAGATATTTTTATTTCTTTGAGGGGATGGTGTATAACTTTTTATAATTCGGCCGCAAAATTTCTGCGTTCGTATAATGTTATCATGTTGTCTGCGTCGTCGTCGTCCGAAGACATTTGGTTTCCACACAATAATTTGAACAAAAGTGTATGGATCGCAATGAAATTGTACCACAAGGTTCGATACCACAACAGGAAGGTCGGGATTTTTGGGGTTATTGTAGTAACTGTTAAGGAATTAGGGGCCAAAAAGAGACCGAAAAACAAGCATTTTTCTTGTTTTAGAACAATATCTTGTATATTAGTGTATGGATCTCTACGATATTGTACCAAAAGGTTCCATGCTTCTAGAGGAAAGTCGGGATTGATTTTGGGGTTATTGTTTTAACTGTTTAGGAATTAGGGGCCAAAAAGAGACAAAAAAAACAAGCATTTTTTCTTGTTTTAGAACAATTTCTTGTATATTTGTGTATGGATCTCTACGAGATTGTACCACAAGGTTTCATGCCTCTAAAGGAAGGTTGGGATTGATTTTGGGGGTTATGGCCAAAACCATGTAGGAATTAGAGGCCAAAAAGGGGAAAAAACTAGAATTGTCATGTTTCCGGACAATAATTTGAGTATAAGTCTATGGATCTCTATGAAATTTTAACACAAGGTTCAATACCAAAAAAGGAAGGTTTGGAATTATTTTGGGGGTGACAGTCTTAACCGTTTGGGGAAAAAAAACAAACACATTACTTTTTTAATACTTTGTAACAATTGCTTATTTCTTGCGAAATTTCAATGGGGTTTTAATTCAAAGTCTTGAATTCTTGGGGTTCTTTATTATGCTGAATTTAACCGCGTATTTAGATTTTGGATTTTAACCCCCGTTTTTAAATTGGTCCACATTGAGGTCCAAAGGGTCCAAAATTAAACTTAGTTTCATTTTAACAAAAATTGAATTCAAGGGATTTTTGATATGCTGAATCTAACCATGTATTTAGATTTGCGATATTGGACCCTAAAAGTTATATGTCCAATTTCAAATTTTTGTTTTCTTAGACCATATTCGTTCTGTGTCAGAAACCTATGCTGTGTCAAATATTTAATCACAATCCAAATTCAGAGATGTATTGCACAATTAAAAGAAATTGAAAGTAGATTCATAGTTAAAATTGATATAGCATCATTATATTCTAATTTTAGAAATTATGTATAAATATAGTTTGAAATGTACTGTTCATTATTAGATAATTTGAAAAATAATTAGAGATTAAATTTTATAGATTTTTTAAAGACATTGTATTAATGATGAATGATATTTTGGAAATTGTTATTTCATTTTGTTTGTAAAATTTTTGAAGAACTTAGTGGTAGGTTTGTTGGTTATTCTGTACAAATTAGTTTTTAGAATGCTATATATATTACAGGTATTTTGTTAATTTATGCATTTTGTAAAATGACTGACTGAATTTTCAGGCAATTTACAAAATCGACTAAAAATACCTAGACATTTTGTAAAATGACTGGAATTTTAAAACAAAATTCAACAAATTGCCTATTCAGTTTTAGATGATTTGTTAAAAATGAGTATCATTGAGATATGACCGACACACAATATCTTGCAAACAAAATACTAATGTTATAGAAAAGTTAAGTTTATTCTTCAATTACCAACAGGGAATGTTTGTATGTATGTCATTTAAGGTTTTTTTAAGGGAAACTTCTTTACGTTTGTACTAATATTTTGTATTTCAGTTAGTAATTTTATGACTTTCTTGTTGGGTGACAGAAAGACAAATTGTTTTTACAATAAATCAAAATTTACAAACTTTTTTTTTAAGATATCTAGATTCAAAACACAAGTGTGAAATATGAAGCAGATAAAAAGATGGCTGTTGTTTGATTGGCTGATTATTGTTTGTTTGCGTTCAGTTGCAAATATTTCATGCTTATTTAGGGCGAGAACACCTTGATTGTAAATCAAATAGGTAAGTATTTTGTTTGCGTTCAGTGGTAAATATATTATGCTAATTTAGGGCAAGAACAAATTGATAATAAATCAAGTAGGTAATTCTGCAATTGATTGATCGTATAAAGGACAAGAATTTTGACTGCCGCTTAAAAAGAAGGTATGTTGGATAGGAACAGATGTTACCTTCCAACAGGCCACCTTTGAGGAAGAGTTCTTTACGTTCATAGAGCGTGGCAATTTTTATACACAAAGCATCAGATTGTAATGTCCCCTTTCAGAAAGAATGCAAATTTATGCATCCAGCACAGCAAAACGAATCTCCTCTAAAGCATTCGTTCCACCGTACAAGGTCGTGTTTGGTTTGTTAAGTCAAGATATGAGTATCTTCATCGTCACAGCCTCAAGGACATTCTTAGGTCTTTATAATCTGATGAATTAAAGGTGACAGTAGCATATTGATGCTATAATGGAACAATGAAATAAGAAGAGACAAATCAAGGTGCGTCCAAAGGCTATAAGCGTCTCCTGCTATGCATGCATAACCCACTATATGCTAATATCTGATTCAGCCTGGTGAATGCTCTGATCACCCATTAGATGTAAGGTAACCTAATCACGCTAATAATGCTTCTAATTTTTTGGAAACACATGTGTCAAATATCTAATCACAATCCAAATTCAGAGTTGTATCAAGCTTGAATTTTGTGTTCATACTTGCCCCAAATGTTCAGGGTTCTACCTCTGCGGTTATCTGAAATATACAAGAAAAAATGTACTCGTTAAATTAGAAATTTATTTATATATGTTCACCACTTTTATCAAATCAGCAAAAATAAGAACTAAGCGAGATTTTGCAACCAAATTTCATTTCTCTTTATTCTTACATGTATATTGAATTCTACTTAGCTGCTC